TCTCATGCCCTTTTCAGATATGTATCATGCTCTGTGCTGACCATGGTCCTTGTGTATCTGGAGCGCACAACACTATAGTAACAGCTAGGGCTGGAAAAGACCTCGTGTCCAGCCTTGTCTCAGGTTATAATTTTGTTTTATTTGGACAGGCATGTTTTTTAGTCTATTTTTTATTTGCCTAATCAATGACGGACAATGACATTCTGAAATAGGTTTGCTTACTATTGGCCCACGATTTGGTGGTGCCATTGATGATGCTGCTCGGTATTTCAAGGATGCATATGACAGAGTGAGATTTTTTCATTGCTAAAATGTTGAATGAAGTGGGTGCTTTCTGCGTCCTTTTTCTCTAAACCTTTATGTTGTTTCCTGTCTTTTACAGAATCTTACACCTTATGAATTTGTCGAAAGTATGAAAAAGAAAGGGATTCGTGTGCCTGGAATTGGCCACAGGTATTTGACAATATTCTTGTTCAAATTGTTAAAGATTGTTGGAACGGAGTCTCACATTGGCTAATTAAGGGGATGATCATGGACTTATAAGTAATGAATACATCAAAAAGTCACGAGAGCTTAATATCATACCATTTTGGAGAGTCGTAATTCCTAACACAAATAACATGGCTTTATAACATCTTTTAGGTTGTTTTCAGTTTGGATTGCTGATTGGTAATTCAAATGCTTAATCGATGGTTTGATTTTGGTGGAATAAGGGTCAAGAGAGGCGACAACAGAGATAAGAGAGTGGAGCTACTGCAGCGGTTTGCACGGACTCATTTCCCATCTGTGAAGTACATGGATTATGCTGTGGAAGTCGAAACTTACACTCTCTCAAAGGCAAACAACTTGGTTCTTAATGTAGATGGTGCAATTGGATCCCTTTTCTTGGATCTTCTCGCTGGTAGTGGAATGTTCAGCAAACAAGAGATCGATGAGATCGTCCAGATTGGCTATTTGAATGGCCTGTTCGTGCTTGCTCGATCCATCGGTCTAATTGGGTGAGTGGTCATCCTTTTCTGCTTACTTTTAAAGTATTTGGATCCTTTAAGCTGATCGCTTTGTTGCTACAATTGAAATTTCCAGACATACATTTGATCAGAAGAGATTGAAACAGCCACTTTACCGCCACCCATGGGAAGATGTTCTCTACACCAAATGATGAAATTACAAATACCGATCTAAACAAGTATGTTTCCTTGCAATATTATTTTTGGTGGAATCTTTCTTTTCTTCTTCTTACCCACCCCTCCTTAGATCACTGTTTGTAATGCAATGCCTTAGTTTCTTTAAGTTTCATTAAGGTTGACTAGTCCATAAAAGGGAAAAATTGCAGTTCAATTTGAAATAAAAAAATTATGTTGTCCATCTGCTACTACCCTGATGTATAATTATCTCTCTGGACTATTAAAAGTAATGGAATTCTGGCATGAATTTTTGGTCTTCCATTGATGAAATGATCGTTTCTTCTACCAGTTCATAACTAGTCAATATTTTGCTGCTACTTCTACATACATACATATATATTCCACTGTTTGTGCATAACTTTTTTTCTTTACATATATTTTAATTTTCGGATTGAAAAAATGATAAAATCTAAGGTTAAAATACCACTTTGGTTCATGTACTAGTTAGGTACAAGGTTTGAGAGTGGTTGTTTTTTGGTGCCAATTTCATGGGATTCAATATTGGAAGCTGATTGCTCTAAAGTAGGAAGTTTGAAAATTAATGAAAGTTCGTTGGTTATTGTTTCATGGAAGAAAAAGAAGAAATTAAAGGCCACGACGTAGAATTCAACTTTTATTTATTTATTTATTTATTTTTGTTGTAATCAATTTGGCTAAATAAATATAAATATATGTCTATATATATAGATATATATATATAAATGTGGGTGCTGTGTCTTTGTTTGCAAGTTGCAAAATTGGAATGCGGTGCACGCTGTGGAGACATGTTTTGCACGCAACCAATGTTCAGCTTTGAAAGAAACAAAGAATAAAATTCCATAATTACCCATTCTTCAATGGTGAAGAAAAAGCCTTAGCATCTGCCTCAAAAAGCATCTTAACATTTTTCCTTAAAAATGTTAAAATTACCAAACACACCCTAATTTTTTTTATTTTAAATAATGAGTTAAATATTTCATTTCAGCTACAAAATATAGCATGTAGGCTCTTATTTGTCAATTTTATTTAAATTTGTAGGTTAGATTATGTAGGGGCATGATGGGCATTTACTCAAGCTATCAACTGGTACTAAATAATATTGTTCCAAGTGTCATACATCATCCTCCCGTCACTTAATTTCATTAAATAATATATTTTAATTTCTTTAAGAAAACGATAAATAAAATATAATTGGCAGACAGAAAAGAAAGTTTCAAGGTTCAAGACGGGCCGTGAGTTTGGTTCAAATGTGGTAAAAACAAAGTCAAACACTTCAAAAAATTAATTTTTTTTAAAAATAATAATAATAAGAAAAACTGAAAAGAATTGTCTTCATAAAGAAGCAAAGTGTAGCTTTATCATTTCCTCTATTTTTGGTATATTTCTCTTACAAATCCTTTCAAATCCCTCCCAAATTTTAAGGTAAAAAGGAAATTGATACCGACCATTGAACAGGATGAAACTTGTAATTTATTAAATAAATATTCAAAAAAGACAAATAAAATAAATAATTAACTTTTTTTTTTTTTTTTGTTAATGCATCGACCAATAGCAACTTCATCAAACTCTTTTTTATTATTATTCAATGTGTATGTATATACGACTTTCTTATCAAATTATTGTCGTATTAAGTTAGCTACCTTAAATTATTGAGCTTGATAATTAAAAAAATCAATGGCATTAATTGGGCACACAATACATGAACCAATAGCAATTTAAGCAATTTTTTCTTTTAATTTTTTAATTTTGAAAAAAAAAACACCCCGTTATTAAAATTACAGCATCAATCCTCATTAGGAATCTAAGTAGCCATAGAAGATAGGTAAAATAAAAGACATGAATTCCTGATCATTCACAACCAGATACCTCTTCGATTCTTACTTCATCCCAATTGTCAAACTCATTATTGAGAGACGGCTTTTATAGAGAGCTAATCTACTACCCTTCTAATTCCTTCCTGTTTGGTATGATTCCTTAAATAACCCTCAATCGACTTTATTATCTTAACAGGTAGGTCACTCTCTAATTAAATGGCTATTCCCCTACTGACATTCTTGCTAGCCAGAACATTTGACTGTATGACCGGAAGCTTTCTAGTAAATCTCACTAAAAAATTATTTCAAATTAATAAAAATCAAATTTAAATTGGATTGGAACTCGAAAATACACCTACTAAATTTTGACATTCAAATTGGGAGGAACTAAAATAGAAGGAGACCACGTGGAAATAGTTTTTTTAATTTGTTTAATTGAAAAAAAAAAACAAAGAGAGAGAAAAATAGGGTACTTTTTGGAAATTCCGACCAGAGAGAGAAATTCGGGGCCGTAATAATAAAAATAAAAAGTGAAAAATTGGAGGTGTGTGATTCGCCACGACCGGCCACTCGCTATTATATATTTTATTGAAAGGAAATTATTGTTGTTGTTTTTTTTTTTTTCTTTCTTTCTTTCTTTTTTAGAGTAGAATGACTAAAGTGAATTTTCCAAATATATATATATAAAAGAAAAATAAGCTCCATTTCCATTTTTCTTCAGTTGGGATTATTTTTATTTTTAAAAAAGGAGGCGGAGCTCTGGAGGAAGGCTAAAGTAAAAGGGACAGAAGGTTCTTGACCCATCAGGAGGAAACCCTTCATTCTATCAATTCAGTCTCAGCGATTGACTCGGCCACCAGTAAGAACATGGGGGATTGGATTGGATTGGATTGGATTGTATTAGATTGGATTGGCTATCTAGTTTTTGTTCTTAAAGCTCCTTAATCCCTGGGTTCAACGGAATTGGTTGATTTTCGTTTTCCTTTTTC